CCGATGCGGGACTCGATCCTGGGACTCCAGGATCATGACCTGAGCCGAAGGCAGTCGCTTAACCAACTGAGCCACCCAGGCGCCCCATGAATGATCTATGTTATGACTTACTGATTTTTCCTAAATAAATACTTAGATAATGACACTCATTCTAATTCTGATAAAGTTTCACTACTAACCCCTATGTTTACTGCATTTCTCATGCTACCTTCTTTTTTTTCAAGTTTTTATACTCAGTGTCCCAGGCGTGAGCCCACTTAGTTTTCCCTTTTCCAGGAGGCATAAGTTCTATGCCTCTTTGTTAAGCTTCTATACCTTTGTGAATAGCTTTCTACCCAATATTTGTGATAATTACAATGTGAGTCTTCATCAGTTTGGCCTCCCTCAATGTCTTACTCCTCAAGTTTTTTTCTACCTCATGCCCAGCTAACTCCTCTTCTGTTCTTTAAGTTTCTCCATGTAAACCCAGAGATTCTTGTTGCCTGTCTGTAAATTCCCAAAACTCATTTAGTCTAATCCCCTTGCTCAGGGAAGAAATGCCAGGAATTTTATGAGATAATTTAGCTATTGCACAAAGATGGCACATACCAGGAATATGTGGAAGTGGATGACTTAGAGCGTAAGGTTATTTTAAGACTTAATTAGGGGAGAGGGCTAATCGGTAAAGATAAAACTTTTTGAGAAATTCTGTTGGAAACTGTCTGGTGTTCAAGCCACTCAGGAATGAAACAATAGAAACCTGGGGACAGTGGATAGAACTCTGAACCTGGTTGGCCTTGAGAGCCATGGCACATGCCCTCTCCTTACTTCACCCCAGATTAGGGAAGGTTGGGGAGAACAGTGGCCATTATGATGGAGGAAGGGGAGTGGCCTTCAAGGTGAGAGAGCAGGAATTGTGGAAATATTTAATTGGTTCTCTCGGCTTCTATAATTGTGACTTGAGCTAGTATTAACACAATTTTGGCTTCTACTGGCTGGTATATTGATAGGTAAGACCAAAAAGAATAAAAAATACTCTGATTCTTAGGAGTTTATTTTAATAATTAATTAATGTAATATAAATATAATAATGTGCTAATAAATAAAAATTTTAGTATTAATGTAGAACTTCTCAATCAGGATAACGCCTGTAATGAGGGGACATAGGCCCCATAATGCCTAATAGAATGTAGCCTATAATAACAGGCCTTGTGTTAAAATGCAAAACTTACGTAATTTTATCTAAAGGATGAGTTTAATATTGTGAAATAGTAAATATCCCAGAGTCAATTACTTCTAGACATGGGACATTGCTCCCCTGACCCCACCTCCATCTGTCTATCTATCCATTCCTGTGAGTGCATGTATGTGCACACACACCCATCTTGGTATATAATATGCTAACTGAATACTGTAATGAACTATGTCTTCTACTTTTATGATACCTTAAATACCATAGATGCATAAAAACAGTTGTGGAAGAAGATAATTATACAACTTAAATAATCTGATATATTTCGGGGATTCCTTAAAACCAGAATCAATATTTGCCATTGAACACCAGTTACTCTAAATTCCATTTCTGCATAAAGTTAGTTTACTGGAAAACTCAATTTGTATATTACCTAAAGTTGTACATTAATTTAGTCTATAAAATCACTTTCACTTAGCTGTAGTTTAATTTTTCTTTGACTTTTATGAGGTTCTTAATAAGAAAGAACCAGGTAAAAATTGTTTCCACATTTGTTATAAATCATTGTCAGTGCCATCCTATAAGGTCTCATATATGAAACTTCTCTTATAATTTACTGCCAAAAAAAAAGGACTTTTGTAAAAATTTAACATTCTCTGTTAAATGTAATTGATGTATTTCCCTTTTTGCCCTTCCTTTACAGGAGCTCAAAATTTTAAATTCATACAAATTACAGTGTTAATATTATTCTTCTTTGAAGAAGCAGATAACAGAAGAAATGTTTTGTAATAAATGATTTTGCAATATTTTTCACAATTTAACAAAACAAACCTAATGTTTTTTCAGAAGTTAATAAACCTTTCTTGATTGTATTGATAAGCTACCTCCTCTGACCGAGCTGTTACCAAGTCTCTTGTTTGAGTCTGCAGCACTACAAAACAATAGCATTAACCCAGGTGTCGTGTTTAAAAACTTTCATTCATCTTAGTGGGAAATTAATTTTAAGCTTACTTGTAACCATTTAGAGATTTGCACTCCTAGGTCACTTGTCCAATATGCCAATATTCTGCTTGAAGAACTGAAGCTTAATTATAAGCCTTCCTGAATGTTAATCTTCATTATTTAACGAGTCCCTAGTCTCAGAAGCAGGGCTTTCTGATTGGCTGCTTCAGAAAGACTAAAAGACAACGGAATGTGGAAGACTAAAGATAATTGTCAACAATTTCCCAATTGATTACTTATAACATTACAACACTTTTTTCCCCAGCAATTGCATTATTTTTTGAAACAAATAAATGATAACATTCTACTTTATTCCTGACAAAACCCTTAAATTAAAATAGGAAGTATCTTCATTAACACTACACACACACACACTTTAAATGCTTGTGCACGAGTAAAAGAGTAGAAGTTTTTTCAACCGAGAACCATTATATTATCACCACTGTCCAAAGCAGTCAAGAGAATGAAATTCTAAGTACAAAATGGAAAAGGAGTGACATTATTATTTTAA